AGATACAGTGGTGCCTCGCTTAGCAATGTTAATTGGTTAAAAAAACATCGCTATGGGAAAACATCGCTAAGCGAAACACCATTTCCCATAGGAATGCATTGAAAACTGGATAATCCATTCCAATGGGAACGGATTACCATCCTTAAGCGAAAATCGCCATAGGAAACATTGCTATGCGAAACACAGTTCCCCCATTGGAATGCATTGAATAGGTTTCAATGCATTTCAATGGTTTTGACAGGTCCGTTTTTGCTATTTTTAAAGTGTCTTAAAATGTTCAAAAACTGTTTAAAATGCTTGGAATCGTTAGTGCACCCTGTAAAACCTTTGCAAACTTAATTTGGCTTTGTTCTGAGTCTTCGTTAATTTTTAGTGAATTCCCCTGCCCCCCATTGGAATGCATTGAACTGTAGGTTTGACGTCCACTATTGGCTCATATTTAACTTGTTATCTACAATGATTCCAAAATCCTTCTCACTTGTAGTATTGCTGAGCCAGGTATCCTGCATCTTGTGTGTTTGGTTGCTTTTTCCTAGATGCAGTAGGTACTTTGAATTTATCTCTGTTAAATGTCATTCTGTTTTTTTTTTTTCATCCCAGTGCGCAAACCTTTCCTGATCATTTTGATTTTTTGTTTTCTTTCTTGTTAGTACAGGATTCTTGTTCTACAGGATCACTGAGGACTATAGCCTTTTTATAACCTACTTGGATTATTTTGTTTTTACTAATGATTTCCTGGACTGGAACTGTTTTTATTCCTTTTAATGGCTTTTTGTGTTTTTGTAAGGTTTTTGAACACTTTTCTATTTTTCATGTTTTCTTTTCCTCACTACATCTTTGTAACTTACCAGCACAATGCTAGTTTATTTGCTTTGGTTTAATTTGGCTTTGATACTTAGTAACATGCTTATTCTTTAATAAAATAAAGAGTATAAAACTCATTTGGTGTTCTGAACAGTACACTTGTCATAGGGTCATCTGAGAGTGCTGCCTCGGCCTAGCTTACTTAGAGTCCTGTCAGTGGTGCAAGTTAAGTCTAAGGACTACAAAGCCTACTTGACCTTTTCATAATAATATCTGAGAGTACCAGGGTGTTCTTATGTGGGCAGACCTGTGAGAAGGAGTGTTGTATCATGGCTAGCTGAGATTGGACTAGCCCATCCCATTTTAGCATGTGCAAACTCCTGATTGCTCTCTGTCCAGGCTTACACGTGTTTTCGAACCTGTGTTTGCTGACATGCCTTTCTCCTTAAAAGGACCCAAGGTGGTTGGTGTGACAAATTTCTCCTTAAAAGGACCCAAGGTGGTTGGGCATGTGTGACAAATACTGTCTGAACTACTGTCCTTAAAGTTATAGAATTGCTGGTATGGCCTCATTAATGCATTTATTTCCATAAAGATAACAGATAATAAAGGCGTTATCGATATATTTTGGGTACAGGAGGCTTCTGGGGATAGGAGTAGAGAAAGCATTGTTTTAAGTTAAGCAGTCAAGATGCTGGCATGCTGTGGGGCCATATATGTCCCCATGGCAGTGGCACTGGTATGCATATATATATATATATAAAACTGTTGAGTGTTTTTAATTGGGTTTTAAATATATATATATTCCTCCTCAGAGGTGCAATAACTGTTGATGAAGACAAATCTAGTTCCCAATATACCTCGCAGTGGAAACCAACCAACAGCTTCTCATATTTACATGCCTCTAGCTTCTGCCCAGAACACACTACAAAGTCCATTGTACTACAGCCAAGTCCTGTGATACAAGTGGATTTGCTCAGACCTGTCAGACAGAGATTCTACTTGAAGACCTGCTAAACAAATGTTATATATGTACATATATTAAAGGATGACACTGTAGTTTGGTTTACTCAAGATTTAAGCAGGGTGAATCATTGGCTTAAGCAGAAGAGAGCCTCATGTCAAAATCTGGTCTGAGGCATCACATTTTGAAATTCAGGTTAAGGTCTAAGTGTCCTTGATTGAAAACATAATTGTGTTTTAAAAAACTAATTTATTGTTTATTTATTAAATTCCTTTACTGCACCGATTAGTAATAAGCACCACTCTGGGTGGTTTACATCCAGAGTGACGTAAATGTAAAATAAAACAAATCAAAACATAATAAAAGCCAAACACTACATAATCAATAAATTGTCCTCAAATGAATCGATAAAAATAAACAGGCAATAATTCTCAGATGAGTTGCCAGACAATGATTAGGGCAATGGAAGCTGAGAATCCAACAACACCTTGAGGGCCAAAGGTACTTCACCCTTAGCATCACATTTACACAAAGAATCACTAGGAAGCACAGTATGACTGACAATGACAAATCCCATGCCAATTCACTTGGGGCATATTCTATGCCTATTTATTGAAAAATACATTGTTTATTCCCAAAGTAGAATTTTGACCCTTCATGCATAGGGTAAGGGTTTTGTGTTTGTATATTTAAGGTAAGGATTTTACACCTAGTTATTTACTTCCAATTTCAAGCAGTACAACATTTTCTGGTGCCATAGACAAGAATTAATCACAGTCATCCAAGTTTATGCACCAACCTCCAATGCTGAAGAGGCTGAAATTGACCAATTCTATGAAGACTTACACCTTCTAGAACTGACACCAAAGAAAGATGTTCTTCTCATTATAGGGGATTGTAATACTGAAGTAGGGAATCAAGAGAAGAAAGAGGAACAACAGGTAATTGAAAATGAAGCAGGGCAAAGGCTAATAGAGTTTTGCCAAGAGAACAAGTTGGTCATCACAAACACTGTTTTCCAACAACACAAGAGGTGACTCTACACATGGACATCACCAGATGGGCAATAGCGAAATCAAATTGGTTATATTCTCTGCAGCCAAAGATGGAGAAGCTCTATAGTCTATACAGTCAGCAAAAACAAGACCTGGAGTTGATTGTGGCTCTCATCATCAAGCTTAAATTCAAGCTCAAACTGAAGAAAGTAGGAAAAACCACTGGGGGCAGCAACAAAAAACATCCCAACGAAAAGGAAATGCAAGAAAGCAAAGTGGCTATCTAATGAAGCCATACAAATAGCAGAGAAGAGAAGGGCCTTACAAATAGCAGAGAAGAGAAGGGAGACAAAATGCAAGGGAGATAGGAAATATACAGAAAATTGAATGCTGACTTCCAAAGAATAGAAAGGGGAGACAAGAGGGCCTTCTTAATGACGAGTGCAAAGATATTGAGGAAAATAATAGAAAGAGAAAAACCAGAATTCTGTTCAAGAAAATTGGACATATTAAAGGAACATTTTGTGCAAAGATGGATGTGATAAAGGGCAAAAATAACCAACCAGATAGGCGGGATATAAAATAAATAAATAAAAATGGTAGGGACCTTACAGACGCAGAAGACATCAAGAAGAGATGGCAAGAATACACAGAGGAATTATATCAGAAAGATTTGGATATCCCAGACAACCCAGATAGTGTGGTTGCAGACCTTGAGCCAGACTTCCTGGAGATTGAAGTCATGCTTAGAAAGTATGGCTAACAACAAGGCCAGTGGAGGTGATGGCATTCCAGTTGAACTATTTAAAATCTTAAAAGATGATGCCGTTAAGGTGCTACACTCAACAGGCCAGCAAGTTTGGAAAACTCAAAGAAGGGCAGCACCAAAGAATCCTCAAACTGCTGTACAATTGCACTCCTTTCGCACGCTAGCAAGGTTATGCTAAAAATCCTCCAAGGTAGGCTTCAACAATATGTGGTCCGAGAACTCCCAGAAGTACAAGCTGGATTTCAGAGGGGCAAAGGAACTAGAGACCAAATTGCTAACATGCGCTGGATTATGGAGAAAGCCAGAGAGTTCCAGGAAAACATCTACTTCTGCTTCAATGACTACACAAAAGCCTTTGAGTGTGTGGACCACAACAAACTATGGAAGTCCTTAAAGAAATGGGAGGGCCTGACCACCTTGTCTATCTCCTGAAAAATCTATATGTGGGACAGGAAGCAAAGGTTAGAACTGGATATGGGACAACTGATTGGTTCAAAATTGGGAAAGGAGAACGACAAGGCTGTATACTGTCTCCCTGCTTATTTAACTTATATGCAGAATACATCATGCGAAAGGCAGGACTGGAGGAATCCCAAGCCGGAATTAAGGTTGCCGGAAGAAATATCAGCAATCTCAGATATGCAGATGATACCACTCTGATGGCAGAAAGTGAGGAGGACTTAAAGAACCTCATAATGAGGGTGAAAGAGGAGAGCACAAAAATGGTCTGAAACTCAACATAAAAAAACCTAAGATCATGGCCATTGGCCCAATCACCTCCTGGTAAATAGAAGGGGATGATATGGAGGCCGTGACAGATTTGACATTCTTGGGCTCCATGATCACTGCAGATGGTGACAGCAGCCACGAAATTAAAAGACACCTGCTTCTTCGGAGGATAGTGATGTCAAACCTAGACAGTATCTTAAAAAGCAGAGACAAAGGTCTGCCTAATCAAAGCTATGGTTTTTCCAGTAGCGACATATGGAAGCGAGAGCTGGACCATAAAGAAAGCTGACCGCCGAAGAATTGATGCCTTTGAATTGTGGTGCTGGAGGAGACTCTTGAGAGTCCCCTGGACTGCAAGGAGAACAAACCTATCCATTCTAAAGGAAATCAACCCTGAGTGCTCACTCGAAGGACAGATCCTGAAGCTGAGGCTCCAATACTTTGGCCATCTCATGAGAAGACTCCCTGGGAAAGACCCTGATGGTGGGAAAGTGCGAAAGCAAGAGGAGAAGGGGACGACAGAGGATGAGATGGTCGGACAGTGTCATCGAAACTACCAATATGAATTTGATCCAAATCCGGGAGGCAGTGGAAGACAGGAGGGCCTGGCGTGCTCTGGTCTATGAGATCAGGAAGAGTCGGACACGACTTAACGACTAAACAACGGTACTCAGCCCTAAATCATGCCCTCGAAGCCCCGCCTCCTTCCGACTGAACGCACGCGCCACCGGATGTGCTTCTGTTGTTCCGGTGCCCAGAGTTTCCTGCTTGAGGAGACTCGTTGTGTGTGCGCGTGTTTTGGGGGGGTGGAAGCTCCTTTTGAGCGCATGCGAGCGAGAGGAGCGTGGGAGAGGGGGAGAAGGAAAACAACAACAACAAACGTCCGCCTCAAACCACCGAGAGATGGAGCAGGGGTAGCCTAGAGCGCCCTCCCAACTAGGAGAGGAGGCGGAGGCGGCGGAGGCGGCGCCAAAGAAGAAACGGGCGAGAGCGGCTTCTCGGTGCCTTCCGCGCGTCTGGGTGAGGGGAAGCCACACACAGGCCTGGGCGGGAAGCCTGGAGGGGGGGTGGACCCTCGGAAGGGGCGGGGCAGCTCTATTGTTGGGAGGCCGGATTTCCTGGCTTGCGAGGGGTTGCCTTGGTGTTTTTTCTTTTCTTTTTTTCAATTTGAAGCGCGGCCTGGCCTCTTCCGCTCTTTTTTTCCCGCCGGAGCGCGGTGGCCGCCGGAGGGGCTTCCCCTGAGACCTCGTTGGGTCTCTCTCTCCCTCAGCCTTCAGATTGGTTCCCCCCTTGTTTCAGAGGGAGAAATGTGATCCTTGAAGGAGAAAGGCATTTCCGAGCAACGGCTCCTTCACCGGCCTGGGGCCCCACGGAGGTAAGGGGGGGACCGTATGGAGGCGAGGCCCGGGCCCCGAGGGGTGCGTTCAGACCTGGAGGGTCCCGCAGGGCAACGGGCGCCCCCGGCGTCGCTGAAGAGAGCCGCCCGGGGGGGGGGTGGAACAGAGAGGCCGCTCCCCGCCGGTCCCTTCCGCGGTCTCGGAGAGGAATCGGAAGCGGCCTGCCTTGTTTCTCTGGTTGGACCCGTGTCTTGTGTGGGATGAAGGGCGGGAGGGGATGGGAAGAGATTCGTGTTCGCGTAGGAAGGAGCTGCATTCGGCATCGGGAGCCGTGGCTGGGCGGGAGGGCTGGTTTTTGGGGGAAAGTGGGTTGCCCTGGGCAACAGCAGGGAGAGTACGTCGGTGGATCTGTCTGGCTCCAAAACAAATTTGGGGAAGTTTTGCCTCCCCCCCGCCCCCCACCGGGCTCTTTCGTGAGTAAAGTGGATATTGGGGTAGATAAAAATAGTTTAAAAGCAGATTTTAAAAATTCAAATCAGATTTTTATTTAAAGTTGAATTTTGAGGGTTTGGATACAGTTACTTAAAAAAAACTGATGATATTTTTAATTTAAAACTTGGAATTGCTCAACAGCTTCATAGACTAGGAATTACAATTTTTAAAAAAATAAGTACAGTCTTTTGTAAAAGTGATTCTTGGAGTGGAGTCTAACCTTTTATGGGGTTTCACTTTTTTTGCATAATTATTTTAGTTAAACTTTCTGCCTCCAGGTACTCAGGCTAATGGATGCCATAAGAAAAAGTGGCTGTTCTCAAACTGGGTTTGTCAGCATGATAAAAGTTGAAAATTCTAGGAAGCTCAGCATATTTGCACATTACAGATTTTTCATAATCTCCTTGACAGATGGACTCCACTTCTAGTAATCTAATCATTATTGCTTCTAGTGTCTGAAATTATGCTTTTTCAAACAAAGGAGGGAGGGGAAATCAATGAATAAGGGTATTACTGGAAGTGAAATCAGTATGGACAAGGAGAATGTAAAATGTGTGCTTTAAAACACATATAAAAATAGAAACCATGAGTTCATTTTTAAAAGAAAATCAAATGATTACATCAGATTCTTGAGTTGTGATTTAAATAAATTTTGTTTACATCATATTAGGGAAATAGGTTCTCTAGAAGGGTGAATTTAACAGACTCCAACTTGTCCTATGAGTTGTTTATATATATTAATATTTGAGATTGAAATTGGTGTACTTAAACAATCGGCAGGTTAAAGCATTTGTAAGAAAGGTTGTAAAGCGACAGAAAAAAAGAATAATCTTTATTGTAAAGGATGGAGATGTATGCTTTTTGGGGTATTGAATTTTTTAGGAAAATCGAAATATACTGATTAAATTAAAACATTGTAGTGCTATAATATAAAGAGCATAATTCAGACTCACAAAATAAACTGCAGAGGATTTTTATAAGTGAACCATTTTAGCAGTTCTTACACCTCAAAAGTATAAATATCTTAATTTTATACAAGCATAAGTTTAAATATAGAGTTGCAGAATGCTGCACCCTGTGCCAGTGGTTCTGAACCTTTGCTGCTCCAGATGTGGTTATCATAGTTAATGGTCTGGAGATCCAATACTAGAAGTCCAAAAACATCTGGATGATCAAATACTGTATCGGGAATTGCTGACTTGTGCTGTGAAGTGTAAGGACGGAGGTTAATCATATGTTTGGGAGGGAGAGGACAATCCGAAGACAAGAAGACAATTTTCTTTATTTCCAGGAACTTGAATAGGTCAGAGGTCCCCAGTAGGTGGCACTTTCGGTTCAAGATCAAGGATGTCCCAATATCAGGGTGAATTGGATTGAAATTACTTAGATTCTGTTTAATAATAGAATTCCACTCACCCCCAGTGTATCCTTGCCTGCTATAACCTTAATTCATGGATTTTCAGAAGGCCCATGTTGTACTTTGCAAAAACCCTGTGGTTTATTTTGAAAAACTTTCAGACTGCTGTTGTAATTATATCAGAAGATGAATGTTTATTTTCTTTACCAATGCACAGAAGTATATGCGAAGGAATTAGAAGGTGACCTGTCTAGAATTCAACTGGTTAGTAATTAATATTTGAATGATTTTCTTACCATGCTATAGGACATCCACCATCACCATACAAATATTATTTACAACTGGTTAGTAATTAATATTTGAATGATATTTGCTATAGGACATCCACCATCACCACACAAATATTATTTAACTAAAACACAAGACGAACAAACCAAAAACATTGTAGCTGCTAGCATGAAATAGGCCTAAAACAAAATTCTTTTCTTTCCTCAAAGTATTTTTTTAATCTTACAGGCATTATATTATCAATATTAGACAAAAGCTGTATAAATTTAACACTATAATCTGTGGTCAGGCGATTATTCCTTGCCTAAGACACTAGTAAATGTTGAACTGCTTAAAGTTGGACCTAAATAACATGGTGTGAGTGGTTTTGTAGCCTGATGGGTAGTATAAAAGTTGAATGAATGAAAAAAATGTTGCCTCAAATATAGAAGCACATACAAAACTCCATATCCTACGTAAGTACGTATGTGGTCTTCGTACTGCTCTGTAGTGTAATTTTTGCAGCTCATGGGGTGTTTTTTTTTAGTTTGGTATGGGTAGTATAAAAGTTGAATGAATGAAAAAAATGTTGCCTCAAATATAGAAGCACATACAAAACTCCATATCCATATTTTTGTATTTTCTGCTCTTGAAGCATCCAGGAGAAGCAGTTTCACTATAAAGTTAGGTCCCCTGGCCTCCAGAAACGCTTCAATTAAAAAAAAAAAGAGGCAAGTAGCATCCTAGAAACTTGAAGTGCCAATACCCCATGGAAATTCAGAGCTTGGTGCAGCCCATGGTAGCTTCCAGGGTGGAAAATTGGCCTCCAGTTCCTCCATTCTTGTCCATTCCTGCTCTTTTTGAAAAATCATGATTCAGGCACCAAGACTTTTTGTGTTTGTGTGTGTTCATTTTTCCATCAGTGTTATAATCCAGAGCTGTCTTGTCCATTTCTTTAGCAACAGATTTTTGCCATTTTTTAGTAGAGTGAAATTTCTAGATGTGCAGCCAAAAGCAGAGAAAGAACTATTACTTGTAACCATGGATATATGTCCTCTACGAGTCTCTCATACTGTCTTTCTGAACTAGAAAATCCCAGCCACTGTAGCTTTTCCTGGTATGTAAAGTCTCATGTAACTTAGAAGACCCTAATAGACTTTTCAAGGTATGTGAGATATTTAAGGAGTGGGTTTATTAGCTCATCTCTCCCTTGTGAGTTTTCATGGCCAAGTAAGGATTTGAATCCAAGTCTGCTAAGTCTTGAGTCTATAACTCCATCCATTGCAGCACACTGGTTCTTGGTTATTGCTAGGTAAAAGTAAAGGTCCCCCTTGACATTTAGTCCAGTCATGTCTGACTCTAGGGCGTGGTGCTGATCCCCGTTTCCAAGCCATAGAGCCAGCGTTTGTCTGAAGGCAGTTTCAGTGATCACGTGGCCAGTGTGACTAGACACGGAACACCGTTATTGCTAGAGGCATACCATTTCTAGAAATTTTTAATGGAGAAAACCTGGGAGTTTTTTGGAGAGGGGGTTGGGGGAAAATAGAAATGTTGGGGGATATTCAAATATTTGTAATCTTTTTTGTATATTGTATTTAATAAATAGTAATGTATTTGTTTATTAATTAACATAAATTTGTTCAGAGAAAATTGAGAACACACTCAACATTAAAAAGTACAAACTGTTTCACCTTGTACATTGTAACACGCAAGTAATAAATACCTCTCCTGTCCTGTGTGCTTTCATGAAGATGGCCACACCTACCGGATGCAGAAATGCATCTTGCATTTCAGAGTTTCAGCATTGTCCCTAGGAACCTAAGGTTTTTCCAGCACCTATTAAATTGTTGCATTTATGCTAATGTGCATCTGAACTCTCAGCAATGTCCGGCAGATTGTGTAGACAGCATGTGATGTCTACAGCATTTACCCAGGATAGTCAAGTCACCAAGCGATTAATTTAGCCACATATTTGAGCAAGAAGCATCTTGTATCCCTGAGATGTCGTCTTGGTGCAAGAAACTATCAGTCTGTCATAACAGGAAACAATGCTAAGGGACTGCAAAAATTCTGTGACATCTTAAAGACTAACTGCTATATTTCAAAGTATAGCAGTTAGTCTTTAAGGTGTCACAACATTTTTGTCTTTAATTTTTCTTTTATTTTGGCCTGATATGCTAGCACAGAGGTTCACAACTACCTTTTCTAGAACTGCTTGTTTAGGTGATCTGTCCTGGCTTTAGGGGAATAAAGTTGTTCAGTGAAAGCCATAATGTCTATTATAAGAATTTAGCTGCACATGTGCCAGTCCAACAACTTTGGTAGCATTCCTATCTTTGCTGGAGCTGGCAGGAATGAAGTGAACCTCAGAAAATGGGGTTTCTGCATTAACACAGTCCTTTGCAAGTGTGGAAATAATAAGCAACACCACACCCATGTCAGTGTACTCTGCACTATGTACTATAGAAGACTTTATGTTAGCTGCTCCAAATCTTGATGTTGCTATTATTGGATAAAAACAATTGATATTGTATTATGGTATTTTTGACAGAGAAGTGTGGGTTGGAGAATTGAGTTTGACTTCTCACTATGCCTCCAAGGAGGGAGGCCCCTAAGATCACCTGTGTGTGGGCCGGACTGGGCCGTGGAGACACATTTCCCACCCCCCGCACGGACTCCTGCCCCCCCGCAAGCCTCATCACACATGCGTGCAAGTGCACACACATGCACACCCTCCACCTCTGTGCAAGTGCACAAGTGCCCTCACCCTTTGCACATGCACGGTGCCCATGCAAGCGCCCCTGCTCCACGCATGCGCGTGTGTGCTCCTTCGCGCATGTGGGTGCCCTGCTTTCCCCAACTGGCCTGTGGAGTTAAAAAGGTCGGGGACCACTGATGTAGAGCACAACCAGGAGGAGGGACTGATTAAACCATGTCTGAGTACTTTATCCTTGGATATCCTGGAAGATGATAACCTAACTAATCTATAATAACATCTGTGGAGCTAAAATAAATTTGAGATCTAAGTTCAAGAATTACTGGACCCTATTTATAAAAACTTTAAAAAGATAAAATGAATACATTGTCCCATAATACAGAATTAGAAATTGTAGCCCCTATTGCATTGATCTGTTGAGCTAACACATTTTAAATTAGAAGCATTGTCATGTAAAACTGAAAACCACTTTAACAATTTATTTTAATCCAATTTAAATTTTTAGAATTCCATTTTAAAATTTATTTTTTATCTGCTCTAATATTGGGTGATATTACGAACCACATTCAGCTTTTCTTTTTCTCCTTTGTTCTGTTGAATTAAATATTCTGGTTTTTTTTACATGGAATTTGAAGTGTTCCTCTTGTTCTTCACCGCTATACTGTTCTCAGGACATCTTCCTGTGTCCTGATCAGATGAACTTCAATTTATTGAATTTTGATCAATGTATTACTTGCTGTGAAGACATAGTTAATAGAGCAATAGTGTAGAATCTGATTGATTTTTAAATAAGGTAGAAACAATTATTTTGCTCTTAAAAATGTGGAAGTCCTCGATAATGATGTGCTGAGGAGTGTGTATTTTTTTTCCCCTCTGGCTGACAATAGAAGAAAGCAAACAAGCCTAGCTCTCTGCCATTCTTTTAAAGACTGCTGGAACAGTAATCAGTTCCTTATTGGTCAAATGCTGCCAATCTAACTTTTGAGCTACATTTTAATGTTTTTAAAGTCCTCTTTTTTGAGAATAAGTTTTGTTGAAAACTATGTCATATTTATTTTTTCCAGGGTGGTTTAGCTTTGACGCGTTGGAGCTTACTCTTTGCCTTTGTGAGTGTCCTTCGATTGTTTCAGGATGCCAGCAGCACTTGCAGAAAATAGTCAAGTGATCTGTGAAGTATGGGCAAACAATCTGGAAGAAGAGATGAGGAAAATTCGAGAAATTGTTCTCAGTTACAGTTACATTGCAATGGTAAACATGTACTTTGTAGTTCCTTTTCCCTTCTGAATCTAAGATTGTATTCTACATAAGTGAGTGTGTTTGCTTTAAATGCATCATTCTGATGTTAGACATGGAATGTTTTAGGGATGTCTCTGCCAGTGCCTTTTTACATGGATGATAGTATTATTTCCTTAACGTTGATAATAAGAAATATTATTAGAACTGTGCTGGTGGAGCTCTGTGTACTTTCACTTCTGCTCTTCTATTTCCTTTGCTCTGCCTCTCTGCAAGCTCAGAAAAACCTGATTTACTTTGGTACAGTAACCACATTTCACTTTTACTGACAAACTGGCTTGAACTTTTCCCTTTCCTTCCTAGGATACAGAGTTTCCTGGAGTTGTTGTTCGACCCATAGGTGAATTTCGCAGCTCTATAGATTATCAGTATCAACTGCTACGGTGTAATGTTGATCTCCTGAAAATTATCCAGTTAGGCCTGACCTTCACAAATGAGAAAGGAGAATATCCTGCTGGAATCAACACCTGGCAGTTTAACTTCAAGTTCAACCTTACGTAAGTTCTCAGAATTGGGGAACAATTTCTGTTTTCTGCTACAAAAAGGCTGTTGCAAAACAGAAACAAGTCTGCCTTGTGATGCTGACAGGGTTGTACTCAGAAACCTTCCAGCCCAGTATTAAGAAATTTTCAGGTCAGTCTGACATTAAAAAAGGGGGTTAATGATCTTTAGAGAGAATAGATGCTAAATAATAGTACAGTGGCACTAGATACAGCTTTGTGTTTTAAAAAAGTTAGTAGGAACTAGTTTATAATGAGAGGTACTTGTGTAGCAAGTTACAAATATATTATTTGCAAGTTAAATACATGTGTCCTGTTTTTTCCAGAACAACAACAACAAACAGTTATGTGGTAAACCATCAGTAGAAGCTACTAGGTCAAGGATGCTGAGCCTTCCGCACTCCAGATGTTTTGAACTATAATTTCCCATAGTCCTTTATCATTGGTAGTACAGGCTGGGTTTTCTAGAAGTTGTTCAAGACATCTGATGTGCCAAAATTTAACCATCTCTACTAGGTGAATTATTTGGTTGAGTGACAGTTTCAGCCAGCAATATAAAAGTGCTTGCCTACAGACCAGACGTAGATGCAGAGTTCCCTATCAAACCTACTGGCCTTTCTCTCAGTCTTGCTCTTTCCCCAGCTCGACAATACAGAAAACGCAGCCCTTCCTTTTCAGGGCTGCCACTTTCTGGAAAGTCAGGGAAATGGAAAATGGTCTGCAGTCAGGGAAATTGTGATTAAAATATATTCAAGTTGTAGATTTTTGACCTGCTGCTGCAAGAGCATGATCTGCTCTTGTTGCAATTAGAATAGAGAAGTAGCAGAATACCAAGTAAAACTTAATGATGTCCTTTCCCAGTTCCATCTTTTTCTCAGCTCCACCCCCAGCAACCAGCCTAATGTGTTTGTTGAGCTGTGTCCCTGCATGATTTCCAAGGTCTGCCTGTGGCATTTACAAAGCAAGACTAATTAAAGCGTTTAGCAAGATACAAACTTTAAACATCCAACTGTTTTCATCCCTACCTGTTAGTACTCCATTTAACTTACATATGAAGATAAGCATGTTTTTGGGTCATACTTGTTTATGAATGGATGTTTTGTCTTCGGCTAAACCTAGCACAGAATTGCAAATAAGTTTTGCCGCTGTTGGATTTTAGTCAACTAGCACTTTCTACGCTGCACCATTCAAAGTAAAATTTTCAAATGTGATTCCTTGTTCTTGCTGGAGTTTACAGAGTACCAGCTCTCTCACCCTCTTCCCTGACTTCTCCCATGCATAAAGGTTGCAAATGAGGGTTGTCTGCTTCTCTAGATTGTAGAAATGATCTGCAAGCATTTGAATTCCACATCCTTTCTTGCTGCTGATCTGCTCATTATACTTTCTGGAACCAGAAAGTGAAACTTTCCAAGCTTTGGAAAGTTCCTACTTGTCAGAAAGCAAATTTGCTAACATCTTGGTGTCAGGCAGGTGGTTCTGTGTACAGTTGTATCTGAAACCACATTTTGAAGATGGCTTTTAAGAAGACAGTTTTTAATATGCAGTGGCTGGATTTTTGACCTGCTACTTCATTCTGACTTTGTTCCATGATTATCAGCAGTTGCTGGAGACAAATGCAAAGGTTATTGTAAAGTGTGCTACAAAACCTCATGCACAAGGACCATTACATCAGAAGAACCTGGAAATTAAATCAAGTCAGCAGTCCATTGCAATATGCTTCAGTTCAAAGCCAAGTATAAGTTCAGATCGTAAAACCAAAGAGGATAAAGAGACAGCCCGCGCGAAAACTGGAAAACGTGATCAGAGTGATGAAAATGGCAAATAATTACCCACCACACAAACTAGTATGGCTGCCTATGTAATCAAGGACTGTGTTAGGACAGCAGAGTGCCTGTGGGCTTTGCAACTGGTGATGAAGAAAATGTCATTTAACTTTTGAAACAACTTCAGTGAGTTATTCAAGCAAATATTCTCAGATACCCAGATAGCTCAACAGTTTCATCTTGGAAAAACAAAAGCAATGTATGTTGTTGCTTTCTCTGATCTTTTACAGAAATAGCTGAAACAATGCCAGACATTTTTGATGCAGCTTTGAATAAGGTGGTTCGAAAGGGACAGATGGATTTAGTGGTTTATTGTCATAAAGTTTTTGCATGGTATCTAACCAGTGTTTTTCTTCAAACTGCTACTGCTGAAGACCTTCAGAAGTTCCAGGAAGGCATGTCTTCTTCAGTCAGTTGCAAAATTATTACAAGTATCTATGGATAGGCCAAATGTAAATCACCTTTTTCTTTAAAAAAAAAAAGGATAGGCCAAATGTAAATCACCTTTTTCTAAAAAAATAAAAAAAAATAAAAGAAGAAATTAAAACCAACCATGACTGTAAAGGAGAAGGAAAAGAGCTGATTGACTTTGGAACTTGTACCCTTCATATTGTACGTGGGTCTTTTAAAACAGGATTGCAAGCAGTGAAATGGGACCTGAATTCAGTCTTGTGCAACGTGTATTATCTGTCCAAAGATTCTCCAGCTAGTAGGGCATCATACACTGCTATGATTGGAAGCACACTATTTCTCCCGAAGTTTTACTCCACTAGGTGGTTGGAGAATGTTTAGTGCCTTGATAGACTGTTTTTGACAACATCAAGAAGTATGTGGAAGAAGCAAAATTCCCCCGCAGTAAACCTCTAATTTGTATAAAAGCTGCAATGCAAGATCCACTCATGAAGTGCAAAATGGCTTATGTGAAAGCGTGATTGCTGGAGACTGTGAGCCATTTCTACAAAAATTTCAAACCCAAAAACTATTGGCACTTTTTTTGCATGAGGAACTTTGCAAGCTAATCAAGAAGCTAATGAGTCATTGCATAAAATCGGAAAAGCTAGTTACCAGTTGTTAACAATTGACATGAAATTGTCTGAGAACTTGCTTGACAGAAGCAAGTTTGACACTGGCTTTGCAGCAAAGGAGATGTTGAAAGAAACTAAACTGTGTGGCTGTCAAGTGCCTGAGTTTTGCCTAGAGCAGGCTTGTCCAACCTGCAGCCCGTGGGCCGCATGCGGCCCAGGTCGGCTTATAATGCAGCCCAGTGCAATTTTGTATTTTAAAAGAAATTCCAAAGTTTCAAGTTACACTGCCGGTGCTTGCGGCTGGAAT